CCCTCAGAGCACCTGTTTGGAAGTGCAGAACACTTTTAGATTGTTTTGATAATGAACAACAAGACCCTGAAAGTCCTGTAACATGCTTGGCACAGCAGGAAACATGTTTGATGGAGCTGTTGAGTTGCCAGCGTGACAAATTCTGCAACAGTTCCCAGCTCTTAAACCCAGGTCATGCAGTCTGGAAATGATCTGGAAGGCATAACATGTCCAAAACCAAAAAAAAAAAAAGGTTTTTTAGCTGGATTGGTTCAGCCAGATCTGACTCATCAGGCAGGCATGCAAGCACTTGTGTTAGCACTATGGAGGAGGCAGAATAGAGAGAAGGAACAAACTGCCAGAGGGCATGGGACCACAGAAAATGTTCATCAGCCCATGTTCTCATGCTTTGCCATTGTTCACTTTCCTATGAAAAACGCTTTCCTATTCATTCCAACCTCCACACTGCTCTCTAGAAGGCAAGTGACATATTCCTTTTCGAGATTTCACTCTACACTTCCATGGTCAGCAAAAGGATTTAAGTCTCAGCAGGGGCCAGCTGACACAGCCGCTAAGATTAGATCCCAAACAACTATTTAAAAGCCTCATGTAATCAGCAAGAAAGGGCAAAGAGCTAAAGTGTAAGAATAGAGCAGCACTGAGTTCGAACATACCCCATTCTTTCTTAGGATAGCCAGTAGCTTCATCGTGTCTGCAATAATAAAATAAAGCATCTGCAGAACCAGTGGTATTTTGAATGGGATTAAAAAGAAATGAAATTACGGACACTCATTTCAAACCAGGACTGAATCTCTTGAATGAGAGACCCAATAGTTCTCTGATTATATCTGTTTAGGAGGTCAGATATTGGTCACTATAGGAGTGGTCCTTCCCAGCACCAGATGAAACCATTTTCTGCCTTGCCATTGAGGCAAATCAGTCTTTTAACTAAGCTAAACTAGATCCTCAGCTTTCCCAGGGGAAAATGAGTTAAGTGATTATTTGGGCTAAATGCCTAACTTATTGGTGGATAATGTGGTCTTTTTTGAGTCTTTTGCTGGTAAGCTACTCTTCCTGCAACCTATCTGTAAGAACAGTAGACATGTGTATTTTTTCATCATATGCACATAGGCACATACTGGTCAGCTTCAAGATCTTAAGTGAGGATCTCCAAAGATCAAAGTGGAAGCTTTTCTTAAAGAACAATTTGGGGTAAAAATGCAGATTTTTAAGCTATGCACAATTCACACTCAGTACAGGCAGAAAGCATCCAGATCCCTTTGCAAGTGCCTCATCATGGGAACTAACTCTTGGGTACAATAATTTTGGCCATGTCCCTGTCAAGAAGCCCAGCAACAACTGCCAAGGAGAGAGTGAAGGGGAGGTTTGAACACGAAGCTTTCCTTCCCCTGAGACAAGCTTCCCAAGCTGTAAGGAGCTGCACCCCAGAAGGCTTTGCTCTTTAATCTCCTCCTAGGCTTGCTATGAAGTAGCAAATCCTCTCTCTTTGCCTCCTAGTCCAGATCAGTGTTTTGCAGTCCCTGGGTGCCCTGACCTTGCTGCTGCAGGCAGCTCAGGAGCATCAGTGGCTGCACGCAGAGATACAGTCCCTCCCTCTGCCAGAGCTATCAGGTTTTGCAAGGGCTATAATAAGAATGAGAAGTAAACCCCCTCAAATAAATAGGAAAAGATAAGGAGGCAGATAACTGTAATTCTCATGACTGATAGTATTACTCAATTTAGACATTAAAATTCTAGTTAAAGATTTAAACCTTGGATTTACTGAGCATGCTTGTTATTAATTTTGCCTACTCAGACTACACTGATAGCAGGTAGGTGTATAATTTTAAATGACTTTGAATTATATTGCAAGTATTGCAGAGACAATGATTATATTTTTTTTCCCAGGCAGCTGATGAAAGGCCTTACAGGATTTATTATTACCCTTCTGAAGGTTTGGGAGGAGTGTTTACTAGACGGATCCATAGCCTGTATAACTCCCCACATTCCTCTATTAAAATGATACCCCTAATCCTTGTTCCGTAACTTAGAAATGACGCATAGCAGGTCCCCACCTCTGTATCATTACAGTCTTAATTCCTTTCTTTTCAGAGTTTCAACCAGAGAAGATTATTCTTCACTCCTCTTGCTGTGGTTTCTGCTCTCAGTCAGGTCACATAAATCACCTTTTTGGAGGACAGAGGCACCGTGGGGGAGTCCCCAGAGACCCTCACAACATTACACACACAGCAGCTCCAGGAACAGCCTGGCACAAAAAAGAACCAGAGAGTTTCCAGCTCCCTTCCATTCTCCCTCTCTTCAGCTTGATGGAAAGTGGGGTATCCCTGTTGTGCTGAGCCCTGGAAGGACTTTCAGTGAGATCTATCAGGAAAAAGAAGTGATTCAGACAACAATGTCAGGGCTTGATCCATCCAGATATGGCTACGAATGGCAGAAGAGGTTTCCCTTTAATGAAATCAGTGGCTGTGACATTGCTTCACATAATACTAACAACAACAACAATATAGTAATTATTATTATTATTAAAATAAAACAAAAAATAATATAAATGAAGATACTTATTTGGGGGAAAGCTTTTGAATGTGTGTGGCCTGTTTTCAACATGCATACACATATTTGCATATCGGAGAAGGAAGAAAGCAATGTCAAAACAGCACCAGTGCAAGCAGTCAGGAAGCAACTGTCGGCAACAGTGAAAGCAGTTTTGCTCATTATGTTCTCTACCCCATCTACACACATATGGATAAATAAATTGTTTCACTCCCATGACAAGTCCATTGAGCTCCTGCCAGACTTTTGAATTCTGCATTGACCCACCAAAATTCAAAATATATTTTCTTGGAGGTAAAACCCCCCAATGAATACAGAAACTGTTATTTATTCTGTCCCATCTTTGTTTTAATGTCAGTGAAAATGCAAGTACATTGGAATATAAAATTGCACTTTCCAAATGCAAGCTCATAGTTCAAAAACCTGGGGTAAGACATCATCTCTGCTGAAGTCAATAAAAAATTCCAACGGACTTTATTGAGACAGGATTCAATAGCTTAAAATGCTTTAACATTAAACTGAGTACTGCTTGAAATACCAAAGATGATTTATTGGAAAGCAATACCAGGGCATGTCATGCCTCGTCATTAGGATTACCTTGGACTCATTATCACTTTTTCTCCTAACTGAATTTCAAAGAGCAGTATTAGATGGCTGCCCATATTAAGGAGTCCTGTTAAAGGCAATCGTGCTTCGTATATTATACTGCTATTTAAAGAAAACTCTTTATATCAACTACCTAAAAAGACAAATGCACAAAGAATGGAGGAAGACATATATTCTAAAGTGTCAAATAAAACTCCCCACCCTATGCTTTCTTAAACACAGTCAAAATTACTTTTTTCTCTTCTACTATAAACTGTTCCCTGATATGATGATTAATTTTTCAATCAAGTCAAAGCTGGACTTTCACTGAAGACAAAACTTTAAAAAAAAAAAACCCAACAAAATGAAGATGTTTTATTGATGATGTGTGTGCATGATGATATTGTAACTTCTTAAAACATCTGTCAGAAGAGTGGAAACAATAACAGATGTTAATATGAAAGGCTGAAACAACAACAGTACATTTGCCTGCACATTTCCTGAGCCGGTATAACATGGGAAAGCACTTGCTTGGAAAGCTGTCATTATTTCCTCTTGTGTTGTTTAGAATAGACTTATAAATGCAGTCAGGTGTTACCATCAGGAGGAGCTGACAGTTTGTGGCAGTATAACCCTTGTCTTCCAGTGAGCAGGGAAATACAGTGGGAATTGTTTCCTGGTTGCCTTGAAAGTGACAGCTTTTAGCAGAAATATTCAGACTTCTTAAATGTAGTATGCAGTTAAAGATTAAGAGCTAATCTTTTATTCCTAGTTGCTTTTGCATTGCCAAGACTTTCTCAATTCACCAGTGACCTAATTTTTAAAAATAAAAGTATTGTGACATATTCCTAGTTGCTTTTGCATTGCCAAGACTTTCTCAATTCACCAGTGACCTAATTTTTAAAAATAAAAGTATTGTGACATAGCTATGATCCAAAGCCTTGGCAGTGTGAGATTCATGTTTGAACTTGATGATCCTAGAGGTCTTTTCCAACCTAAATGATTCTGATTCTATGACATACTCACTTCATCCCCTAAGGATGTTTTCAGACCACAGATGTGAACAAGGAAAATTGCCCAACTAACATGAGTTTATGCCATGTGGAAAACTGATCCTCTGAATTAGGCAGGGACCTTTCTACAGCATTTAGTGGGATATTTCAACCCTTTCTTTCCGTTGTGGATGAGCAGCAGTAAGAGCACTTTAGTGCGACCCGTAGGCAGTGGCAAGGCTTAGCTTGCTCTCCCTGCACAGCCTCTGTACATCCCTGTTGGACCACTTCATCTTCCACTCCCTACACCCATAACTCTTCCCCCACTGGCACTGACCAAAACCAGACTGTCTCAAGTTCTTGAGTACATTCACAAACCCCAGTAACTAATTTAGATCATTGTTGCTGTTGGCAGCACTATTTTAGTTTGTATTCCTTTCTTCTGCTCTTTTGTGTTTTGTTTTTACAAACTATATGGGTTTCTTTTAATGTGACATCTCTGTGCAAACGTATGCATCTAAGGAAGGCAAAAGAAATTTATTGCATTTTGGCTAATACAGAGGAAAGGGGAAATTGCCTACATAATGAAACAGGAGATGCAGTTTTAACTGTGTCGTTTCTCTCTCGTCTCCATAGTGCTGAATACACAAATATAAAATATATAATCTACCTCCTCCTTCAAACATATCAACGTACAATTAAAACCCACAAAGCTTGACAACCTGTTGTCAAGTTGTTTAAGCAGTTGTTTCAGAATCTGACAGACAAACTTATAAACAAAACGTAGAGCACCAGATTGTGGAATGAGGCAGCATTATCACATGGCTTCCTCAGTTATCTCAAAATTTGAAAAACAAAAAAGCAGAGGAATACTTTTTGTCCTTGAATAAATAACAGTTTAATTACATTATAGAAATAAAATATGATATGGTAGGAATACACTGAAAATCTTACAGAAATACTATTCTGCTACTGGTAGGTAAATGGTCAAAACTACTTTTCATGACAATCTGAACAGTACTTGTGTACAAACTATTATACAGGTTGCTAATGAAAAATATTCCAACAGTTGCAAGGATGTTACCAGCTGAAACAAACATCTAATGATACAATATTCTTCTAAGAGGAAGTAATAATGTTAGATTTACAGACAATAAAGAGTTATGTTCTCCACTTCAAAACACTGGAAATAAAAAACTCAGGTAATTCTATTTCTTTACCTCATATTCTCACAAGGAAAGATTTTCCTTTCACTATGAAATAGCATCCCAAGAGACCCTGGAAACAGTTTATTCAAAGGTAGTATTTGAGATGTCACAGCAACTTCAACAATTTTCCTAGTCTACAATTACAGACTTTTTAGGCCACTGCTTGTACAGATGACTTTTTCTCACTTATTTACATACATTCAACCCAATAACAGCAGGTAAAATGCACTGCCTATCTCACAATAGACATACTAAAATTTTCATCAAAAGGCCAGTGCAAGAAGATGTGGATAGTGATTGCACAGCATTGAGGAGATTATATTATACAAATATACAATCAGACTGTTGAGAATCTAACTCTGCACGCATGTGACACAGATGGTCTTCTCGGTAGATACGTGACACTCGGAGTTAGTACACAGACGTAACTGCAACAAGGGTTGGTTGGTTGATGAGGATGGTGTGGGTGGCCATGGAACACAATATCGTTTGGCTGTGCTATCACTAAGTGAGGGTAGGCAACTGCAAAGTAGGAATACCTAAAGCTGAAGTTTAAGTACAGCTTTTCTTGGAACGGCAGCAGATTTTTCTAATGAAAGAATAGTTCTACTTAGTGTGCAACATGTAAGGAAATTGTTGCCGACTCTTAATAAATGGTTCTAAGTGAACCGATGCAGTTCCCAGAGCTTTAGAAAAACTCATTATGCAAATAAATGATGATGATAGACACTAACGTTTCACAGGATGCTATTTCTTATTATATCAGTAAGCACCAAGTTAAGTGCCAAGACAGCCCCATTGTCCCATGACTTATCATGTAAAATTTAGAACTTGAATGCACAATGAAAGTCCACAAAGTTTGCATTTAATTCACAAGAAGACAGTTTCAAAAATGGCTCTTAAAATACCATTACATTTCAAATGGGCTTTCCCCCCCTCCTCCCAGAGGACTGCTTTAGAATGGATTAGACCTAGATATAAGAAAGATCCTTCAGGAGGACTTGTACAACCTCTGGGAGTCCTCTGCAATACGCAGGTTTTGGCTGAGTGTGGTGGGCCTCTTGAGAGCGTGGTGCCCTGCCTTCTCACCCAAGTAAACTGCAGGGGGAGGTGGGTGGAGGAGGAAAGTACCCCTGCCTCTTCCAGCTGTTGCTCAGAACGTGACCTGATCTGATCTTTGAAATGTCACCACTCATCAAGCCTGAACTTGGAGCCACTTGCATCCCTGCGGAGTCACTGGCTGAAATGGGCTGGGCTGCTCTGGCCTGCACTGAGGCATTAGAAATGTCCCAGGAATGTCATGGCAGCCAGAGCCCCTGGACTGCTGCCCTCCCTCCCCCTCTACGTAAGACCAACGACGAGCGGCAGGGCAGCGTGGATTTTGTTCCACTCACCCTGTGCCAGGGAGAAAGTCACCCCTGTTGTGGCAAGTGTCAGGCCACTAGAAGGCTAAGCTGTGTTTGCAGCTATTTTGGCAGAAATCAGTCAGAAGGGTGAGGGAACAGTCCAAAAAAGCAAGGCAGCAGAGAAGAGGACCCTAGACCTTCTGACTCAGAACAGAATTACAGAATATCCATGCTTCAAAGACTATCTCGTAATATGTTCCTTGTGACAGTCTCAGGTGGCAGAAACTATCCCACCGTGGAACAGAGTCACCATCTTCCTTCAATAGCTTCTTCCTTGAAGCTGGTAGTGTCAAACCTTGTCACTGGTTTCAGCGAGACTCACCTCATTTCAAGCTATCAGATTTGACTACTGACAGCCTTAAAACAAACTATCATTTACTTCTGGCTTTCTCAGTTTTCAGGAACACCATTGACAGCCACAGCAGTTGTCAGTGCGGGCTCATTCCATGCTCTGCCTCTTTTTTCCCCTTATTCCCAAGAGCAACTGAAAGGTTGCTTTCTCTAAGACATTGATATACATCTCAGAGTGGATCGAGATGTTCTTAATATGGTACTTTCATCAGTAATCAGTTGGAAGAACTCAATTTTAGAAATAGAATTCATGTGCAAAGCGTGCAACAAGAAATACAGTTACATTTGGTTATAGTGTCCTATCTTAGTTATGCTACCATGACTCACACTGATTAGTACACTTACACACACACGCACACGCAAACACACGTACACACACAGATATTTATTTATATACACGCTCACACAATAAGAAAATGTCTAAGTCTGACAATATTTCCTCCTCTTTTAGTGAAGACGGAAGTTTGGCATCTCAGGCTCTGAATCTGCTTAAACCTGGGATACAGGAATGTGACACACTTCAAATATACATCAACTGCACAGTGATAACATGGCACTTTGAGTCTGACACATGCTGTCTTCAGTGGTCCAGCACCAGCACGTGGCTTAAAACCAGTTACCCATTAAAGGAGCCAATATCCGGGACATTTGCTTTTCAGTGTTCGTATTCACGCAACACCCAAGAGCGGGGCAATAGTCTATGCAACCATAAACATCCTTCTGCATAAATGCAGTGGTATTTAAAAGTCTGAACCAGTGCTTTCCTTTCTCATATTCCTCCTCTATTCCTATGTTGCTGTTACTCTCATATGCATGTGAAAATAAAAGGTAGTTGGGAAATAATTTTAGTAGAACACAAAGCCTCTCCTCTAAGTCCACAGAAGACCACTAAAAGTATAAAATTTCAGAGGAATTCTTCAAATACAGTAAGTGTTTTCAATGGGATTTACATATCACGTTTCACATTATTTTCACAGAAGTCTACCTTATCACTTTGTTTAATTAGACAAATATCAATAACACGTAATAAAACAGCATACAATTCACAGGACACGACACATTTTACAAAACCTCTAAAACTCAGCACTGCCGCGTTTGGAAAAAATCAGAAACTCCTATTACAGACATGAAATACACTTCACATGGAAATGAACATCATGATTACAAGGCTTTTTTTTCTTATTTGATGGTATTGGTTTAGAATGCATTATTTTTCAATTAGGTTTCACAATTTTTCTTCACACTCCAAAAGAAACCATTGCTAACCTGGTATTTTCTCTGTGCTCTTTCAGGAAACATTATTATTCAGTAAACACTTTTTGAGAAAAAACTTGTGAAAATTTAGCTTGAACACCTAATTGTAAAACCTGAAGAACTGGCTGATGGTAATGCTCTTAACACAATCATTGCTCAGCTTACAATGACAAACCAAAAAATATTACAGGAGGGTACAAACACGTTAAGCCATGGGTTTGGTTTTCTCTGTTGTTGATTTTTTTTTTTTAAACTAACTCCTTCTCTCCCAAGCTGAGAAGTTTCTGACTTACAATGCTTCAGCAGTTGTGTCTGTGGAGACAGACATGGTAACTTTGGCAATCTTAACTGTGCTCTTAATGCAGCTCTCGGCAGCCCTGTGCACGTTCCCCGCGTTGTTGGCGTGTTTGTGCTGGCAGTCAGACTCCATGCTGTTATCAAGGGGCTGTGCCGTTCCTTTGCAGGTGGGGAACATGCTGCGGAAGGCATGTCGCAAGTCCTTGCTCCTCAGAGCATAGATGATGGGATTCACTGTTGAATTCAGCAAACAGAGCATGCTACAGAAGGCAAAGACAGTCTTGATAAGCTTGTTCATTTTCCCAAAGACATCATACACCATGATGGCGAGGAGAGGGCCCCAGCATATGATTAAAACGACTAGAATAAGGACCAAGGTTTTGGCTAACCTGATGTCCATACGAGTTTGATCAGGCCTAGTGATCTGTACCTTACCATCCTCTGTTGACTGAACGATTATGCTTTTCTGTGTGCCCCGCTGAAGCATGCGAACAGCATGGCTGTGAGCCTTCCACAGTATGTACATGTAGGCATAGACAATGAACAACAAGAGGACGCTGGTGACCCCAATCCAGAACATCAGGTACGTCTCATCGATGAGAGGGAATATGTCCGAACAAACAGAATTGAGCTTTTTGCAGTTCCAGCCGAGCAGAGGAAGAACGGCTATTACAATAGCAATGGTCCACATCACACAAAATGCTACGACAGCCTTTGGTCGGGTAACAATCCTTTTGTAAGCTAGTGGCCTGTGTATAGATATGTATCGGTCTATTGCCGTGAGGAAAAGGCTACCTACGGAGGCGGTGAAGGAGGCTGTAACTCCACCCAGTTTGAACAAGAAGACGTTGGGGCTATCCTTCCGGTGGAAAACATGGAAATCCACAAAACTGTAGACAAAAATGACACTGCCCAGGAGGTCGGCCACAGCCAGGCTGCCAATGAAATGGTAGGAGGGTCTACACCGGAGACTTCGGGAGTGGAGGATGACACACAGAACGAGGAGGTTCTCTAGGACCGTGAAGGTGCCCAGGGTGAGCGACAGCACAGCGATGGCCAGCTGCTGGCTGGGGTTCAGGATCATAAAGCACTCCATATCCATAAAGTTCTCCCCGCATTGTATATTCTCCTCATTATCCTTAAGTGTGGACAGGGACTTGTTGTAAAACTCTGTGATGTTGACCTGATCTGAGGGAATAATGCTCAACAGGGGATCATCTCCTGTAGTCATTTTTTCTTGGAAAGGATCACCCCTGAAGGAGGAAAGAGGGAACTTCTGGGGGTAGTACCCCAGCTTGGATGCCATGTCGCCTTTCATGTCTTCGTACTGGATGTCGTTGGAGGCCACGTAAAGGAGATCTGTCGTGATTGTTCGGAAAGTTGTATCTGCGAGGCCATCTAGGATTGACTTCATAACCCCAGTCTTGTTGGTTTCAGAGAGACTTGGGGGACAGAAAAATGCATCGGAGGAAATCCTATATGGGGAAAAGATCAGACTTCATTAACATAAACAGGGAGACAAACTCCATGAACAATTTAGTTGAACTATGTCAAACAAAATCAACCCTTCTCTTATATTCAGTGCAAGTCTAGACTTTGCCACTGTGGGAATAAGGGTAGGTTGAACACTTAGAAAGAAATCACCTGGATTTCACCAAAACCGAATTACATTAAGAAGTGACATGAAAAACAGAGGCACAGGGAATCAAGTGTTTCACAGGAAAGCAATTCTCATTTCTCATCAAAACCTTCTGAGCTGCTCCACCAGAAAGATATTTTTCTCTAGATCTGAACTTGACTTCTGATTGCAAAGTACCTTGCAGACCAATACTCCTTGGGCTTGCTTCATTTAGATAACACCAAGTACCACTGCAGCAATAAACTGAATCATCACCTTCATTACTTTTCTTTCAAAAAGCACCAAGGGTTTTGAAAACTTGACAACAGAGAGGCAATGGAGACAGAGCCATGCACTCTAAATTTCACAGTTCACCCAATATGCCTGTATATTCACATTAGCCAGTTACAGCAATCTGAGGTCTACTAACATCCTGAATTTGCTATTGCAAATTTATTAGCAAGGAATTTAACCTACAAATATATCGCTTCATTACATTCATACACAAAGATTACTCTATTTCTTCCTTCTGCTAAGCAAACTAAGGTAACTGGGATGTATGGGCTATATGAGGGAGGCGGGTTGTTACCCAGCTCTGTCCGCAGTTTCAGGAAAGGTAACCAGCACTGCTAAGTCAGTGAGAGAATCAGTGATCTGCCCTGTATAGACCAGAAGTCTCAACCAGGGCTGTTCACACTTGTCTAGATAAACATGGAACCAAGTTTAGGGCAGAGTGCAGCTCTGGCCAAAACTCCAGGCAAAAGGGACCAGGAGCCACTGCTTCTTGTGAGAAGCATGGTAATGTAACTTGTCCTGCTGTGGACACCCTCAAAAACATTCTGTTCCCTCAGAATTGGGGGGGACCCAGCAGAAGGTCCCCAGGTAGTCAGTGGTCTGTCCTGTCATGTTCAGCCTTTGCTCATGGATAGTGCAAGGTGCAACTAACTCCTGGTTAGGGTACCCTTAGGAGAGGACCCTCACCAGCACCTGACAAGTCTTACAGCTCTTCTTATGCAGTACTCCTTTATATTACTTTGCCCATAGAAAATTCCTTGAATATGGATTGAACGTCTGCTTTAGGGTCCCCTTCCACCACCTGAGTGAATGAGAGTGGTCTGAATGTAAATAAGAGTCAGAATTACTCCTTTTGTGTGTAACAGCTATTCTGCACCTGCTACGGGACATCTAGATGATTACACCAACAACAGGAGCAAAACCAAGCTGCTTCTTGGTTTTAGAATGGAGGAAATTGTTTGTGACACTCAAGAAATCCCAGATGAAATATATAGGCTTGCACTGACTTAACCTGTTCACTTTACATGAGTGACAATAAATGGCCAGAAAGGGCACAAGAGACTATCTGCTAAAACTCAGAGTACTGATCACCTCAACTCCTAAAGAGAAGATTTGCACAGCAGGTACCACAGTTCTGTTTTCCCACGAAAACTATTGGAAAGCAGAAAAGGATTCCTCTCTACAACAATACCAACAACTTAATAGCCAATAACTTAAAAGCATAAGAAATCAGGAGCATTTCTAAAAGCAGAGATCATTTGGCTGATGATATATTTATCCTGCCTTGCTTATAGCATCTGAACACTCAAGACTTTTTCCACAGTTCTTTAAAGTTTTGCCTTTCATTAAGCAGGCCTGGACATTGATAGTTAAAGGGAATATAACTAAAGGGAACTTAGACCTTCAGAAGACACCGCAACTCCAGTGTTGCAAACAAGGACGAGTATAAACAAACCTTACTGCGATAGTCTTAACGCACAAAATATACTGGCTAAGTCAGCTTTTGCAGATATAGTTTGCTCAGCAGGTAACAATATAATTATTAGACAGACAGACAACATTAAGGAATTTAATTCTGAGGGTATGAGCAGTGAGGGAGAGAAATGTCACTGAAGCATACATTAAAAATTAACAACAATCATCTAATACATAAGGTACTTTTCCTCCAGAAGGTGCTTTACAGCTGTTCCTAGAGAATCTACACGTTGCAAAGATGACTCTGCTTAACAAATTTGCTTTGGGTGAAGTTTGGCAACTTTACACTTGGCATTATAACACCAGTTTAAAATCAGAAGTGAAGAATGAGTTATTAATTTGAAAACTACTCAAAAATATTAAATAAAACAAGTAGTTCTAAAAACATGTTAAGATGGCTGTGGTATCCTCTGTTATTCCAGCTTATTTTTGACAGAAGAAAGAAAACCATTTTAATGATTAAAGCCACAGCCCCATGTCGAGAAGATTATGTTTGAGGAAAGCTTCAAAAATTGTATGCAACTGAGCACTTCTGCTAGACAGACAAACAAATTGTTATGAGGTAGCTGGTCCCTGCTGGAGTCATGTCAAGTATAGAATCGTCAGAATTAGGTGCCGTGCCTTTGTTTGAAATACAAATGAAAAAACACAAATTCCTGTGTGTTCTTTTCAAGGTGGTAGTGAGTTATGTGACAGTATCACTATGCATCCATATGCTATGCTAACAACACAGTTAATGGGATCAGGAGAGGCAAGTCTTACTTTGAATGTCAATGATTTTTTTTTTCCTCTATATTTTTACATTGAGATTATTACAGTAATTTCTACCTTATTGTATCTGCAAAGAGAGTTTTCTTTGGGAGTACTTGGGAGTTCATTAGTGATGTAGTTCAGGCTTTGGGGGATGCTGCTGACATTAATTTTGGTTTTGTTTGCTGCTGGGAATATCATAATTGGAAATTTCTAGCTGTATGTGTGCATGCACCTATTCAAGCAGCAGTTGATTTTTATTAAAGTTGCAGTAAAACAACCATTTGCCTGATCTGGAATTGCATTTTACAGGAAATTCATTTATTTTAATTTAGATACCAGCTTATCCCAGTATAAGCTCACTACTGAAATGCACTGAACAGATCAGCGAGGTTTTCCATGGCTGTCTAGTGAAAACAAGACTGGACCTTTGGCACTGTGGTTATCAGTTCACAGTCTGAGATGCTGTACGATTTGACATAGACTGAAAAGGCAATGGCAGAAGCAGTGGTCTTGTTCCTGGTCTTTTCATTTGGTCAGGTGCACATCCCAGTAACACACATATTTTTTCTCTGAGCTTTTCTGTCCAAACCTGGCACGGCGAGCAGACACTGCGGACAAACACAGACGCTCCATGCAATGTGGCCACACTGCTCTTTGCAGTTGGCTTCAACACAACCCAAACCCATACAGCCCAGGAACACAAACCTATACTACTCAACACCCATGGTGATCTCTACATTAAATACTCCAGAAGCCCCTGTGGCCTCTCGCAGCCTCCATAGAGAACATGCATCCCCCGCACAGATCTGTCCTCTCTGGATAGGGCTGGAGTGATGGCTGTGTGCTGTGGCAAGGTCCCCTCACAGACAGGACAGCAGTGATGAAGAGCCACCCTGCCCTGCCAGATGAGGGAGAGCGTGCACTGACACCGGTACTCAAGATTTTTGACGTGTTTCCATGACTGCACGCAGCAATTCACAGCAAGTACTGAATTATGATTACAGATAAAAATTAAAGAACAGACAAAAATTTCAAGCATCTTTTATCTTGAAGACCAGACCAGAAAAGGAAAAGCTGAACATCATTTTAGACCTTTCTCGGGTCATCCAGCAACTGCTGAAGGGCACTATCAGACCAGCTGTGTGAAGCGACTGCCACTAGATGGAGTGGCTTTGACAAACTCCCAGCTTAGCTGTCTGCAGAGACCTGTATTCAACTTCCTCCAGCCCTTTTTCCCAGTTTACTTTACCGGTGATCAAATATGTGAGGTGTTAAACATCACCTGACGGTTGAAAACACAACTTTCTAAGACTTTGCCTTTGAAGTGAAAGAATTAGTGAAGAGTTGAGGGGGCAAGTCTTACTACTGCCCTCCACTGTGTGGTTACATCCTAAAAGATGCTAAGATGGTATCAGAATATACATATGCTTTAGGTAAAATAAAAAATACATAGTATATAAAAGACTGGTAACTCACCATCAAGGACAACAGGGAGAATTACACCTCCCATGGATTTCTTATTGGTCCACAAGACCAGTTCACTTGGGAACAAGAACGTGACTTCAATAAAATGCTATTACCTATCTTCTCCTGCTGTTCTGTAGGAGAGGGAGGGCTGGAAAGTTTTTATCGTTGTCTATAAAAAGGGCTGAATTTATTATTATTTTCAAACCAGGATGATTGATAGAGCAATTTTAATAGCCTGAATAGAAACAGTGAGTATTTGTGTTCTTCCTTGGAAAGTAATTATGAGCAATACAATGATGCTACTGATAACTGCAAAAATGTTGACATGGCAAGAAAAGGAATCAAAACTAGAAAGGGAAATCCACAATCAAACCTTTCTAGCTTCCATTTTAGAAAATATTTTGATCTCTGTGTCTATACAGTTGTTCTATGATAATCACAGTTAATTAAGAACAGGCTAAAGGACAAGTAGGTAGAATTGAAACAAGTTTTGAATGGACAAAAATATGTAAATGTACTCTCCTTGCATACATGTTGTAAGGTTACAAATTGTTCAGAGAAGGGTTTTATCTTCTGATAAATTTGCATAGTGCCCAGTACACTGGGACTCCTACCAAACTGGGTCCACAAAGTACCACCATAGAAGAAACAGAAATTTATACTTGTATGCAGTCAGCTGGAAAAGCGTGAGAGAAATGAGGTTTACCATGGTAACTGTTGGCCTTTAGGAATTAGAACTGTCCTATAAAATGAAAATTTATATGGCTAATAATTACCTTATCCCATATGGCGATGAACAATACTGCTTCGAGGACAGAACAAGGTTTCCAAGCCGGAGAAAGAAATGTGCAGACTGAGAAATGGCATTTCCAGACTCAGTAACACTGAGCAAGGAAAAAAACACATGTTGACAAGAATGTGAAGGCAATGTTACCCTTATCCTATTTACTGGTTTACTACTCTATCTCCAACACTGTGCTACTCCTAGGCTATAAATGGTAAAAACGCTGTCACTCCTAATTCAGGAAAACTTGCAGTCACTTCAGTCAGAATTTTCTCTATGTGAGGGATCAGGAAGGAGACAGACACTAGGAGAGGACCAAATGAGGGATGTTATCTTCTAGATACAGCAAGGCACTATCAGCTATGGGGTAAACTAGGGCATGCAAGTACTGAACCAAATTTTGTTCTTATGTAACATGATCGTATCTCTGGCAAGTTGAACCTTAATTAGCAAGAAGCCACAGCTACACAGTTATTATGTTAATTAACATACCGTTTGCACACTAGCAGAATAAGGGCTGGACTGTTCCAATTTGTAGGCAAACAGCCCCTACGTGACACCCCCCAGCATCCAGCAGCCGACAATCTGAACAACAAAAACAAAAGAAGGGGGAAAACAGGGCGTTAGTCAGTGGTGGACAATTGTTTTGAAAAGAAATAACACTATTTCCTCCCTCCCAAGTTTTGTTGGTGAGATGTGTGTACCAGTTTTAGCACAGGTGACTTGCATGTACAGAGAAAGGGAGACTGTGCCTTACCTCCCAAACAGCCAGGGCACAAACGTGTGTCTAAGATTAGAGAGATTCAAAAGCAAGGCTGAAGTCCTGCTCCATTTGGTGCAGCCAAAGGACCCAAATTTTGCTCTCCTGAAAGGCAGGTCAGTGTGCTGGCAGCCACTACATGCTGCTGCCCACCTCTAAACTGCTCAAATTGTTCCATGATGGATCAAGAGTTAAACATCCAGAAATAAAGGCACCAGGAGGGAGGGTGCACATCTGGAAAGTGAAAGGCTTAGCTTGAAGCCCTTTCTCTGAACTAAGCAACTCAAGGATGTGTCTCCTGCATCCCACCCAGGCGCAGGGGAGGAAGAGTGGGGACAGCTGCCCCATCTGCCTGTGAAAAATGGCCAAAACTCTTGAAGTCAGTCAAAAGCCCTCAGCTTATAAAATACAACCCTTTACACACACACTGCCTACCAAGGCTGGAGACAAGACAAAGTACTGAAATCACAAACTAGCAAGGGGACCATCAGGCTCACATTAATGGGAAACTACAGCTACCTGCTCTGCCCAGCTTTTGGGAGAAAGAAGGGAAGGCTAAGATGTCTATCTTAAAATGTGGGATTTTAATATCTGTCACAGTTTATATATCTTGATTTCATCTAAAGATAAAACTTTGGAAGAGAATAAAGTGGCTTGCTAAAGTATGTAAGACTCAGATCAAAGGAAACAATTGAGCAATCATGAAGCAATTGTGACCTGGTTGTTTGCTTAAAATCAGCTCCAGTTTAGGGACTGGAGTCCCAATAAATGACTTTCCCTTCTCCTTTCCAAATACAGCAGAATGAACAGGTAATACAAAAAGTTTGATACAATGCTATGGTATTCACATTTTAAAGAAAATGGAAGAGAACTCATTAAGCTGGTCAATTTTGAACTCTCAAACTTTTTCACAAAAGGGTTTATCTTGGATTTCAATATTCCAACAGAAATTGTATAATTTCCAGCCTCTTCTCTAGCCATTCCCTAATGCCAAAAGGTGCATGCACTTACTACTGCTGAGCAGAATCGACATAAATGTTAAACAGGGACAGAGAAGTCCAGCCAGGTGCAAAAGAGATGGGAGCTGAACATTCATTCTCCTGAAAGTACCCAGAAGAAATGGCAGTTTAGAACACAATGTGTAGTTTAAGGGAGAGAAGTAATTTGAAACAACAGAGCAGGACATAAAAGACCCAGGGTCCCCTGGATGCTAAATGCTAAAGGTCTTCAGAAGAACGTAGTGTCTAGAGGATGAAACTGGGGGGAAAACACATTTATTAGGAAGCAAAAAAAATGGAGAGAGAGAACCACTCCAAGAAAACAGCTTCCATGTAATGGCCAGAGCAGAAGAGAGAAGGTCAAGAATTTGTTGCAGCAGAAAATATTAGTGAACTTTATTAAAAGAGTAAGGATTAGAGAGAGAAAGATAGCAAAAACATCAGGCTCCAGGGAGAATGCTCATAAACTGCACAGAGTGTATGTCTGCTTTTTCATCCTCCTGCAACAAACTGGCTGTAACAAATTTTAATTAAAGACTTCATGAGTTAGCAAGGAGATGCTAAGAGCAAAGGTAATATGGGTTAAGTTTTTGGTGTGATGAGGATTGGTAGGAGAGAGGAAAGACAACTATTGTCTCCATACTGGAAATAAGACATCTCCAGGTGAGACAGAAGCAAAGTGGGGAAAGGTAAGAGAGGAAGACCCAAGTGGAAGAACCCCCTGTGAGGCAGAGATGCAGAGAAAGAGAAGAGTTGCCTTTGTGATCACCTGGAGGAAAGCAGATCGGGTGAAGGAGAAAACTCACGAGAGAAACTCTCCCTCCTCTTCTGAGCTATGCAAACTTCAGACACCTCTGTAAGATGAAGGATATAGCTAGTGGGATTTTTCAGATCTCACCATAAAGAAAGAACAGATGCACTGCTCTGCAGGCAGTGACTTGCTCTTTTGAAAGTCCATTTCTGATCTGTACTCAAGCAACGAAGGAAGACGCAAAGGACTCTGAGAAGCCATCTTTGGTAAGGTCAGAAAAAAGGACAGCACTGTACGCACGGACAGTGGGGAACAAGCTGAGGACTCTCAGGAGAGATCAGTTGAGCAAATTTGGCCAGGGATATTAATTAAAATCAAACTGCTTAAGGAAAATGAAGTACAGGATATGGACCTCAGAGGTGAAAAGGAGAAGAGTGCTCAAATGGAGCCACTGAGTGACCCATACAGCAGACAAACACACCAGAAGTGAAAAGGAGGTTTACACGCAATGACAAAAAGTTAGTGCATGGAAGGTCAGCAATACATTGCAAGCAACATCCCTTCTACCTCAGCCTTCAAGAGCCTACTTCTCCAAAAAATTATTATTAGGCCATCAATACTGGCAATGCTCAGAAGCTAGGTTAGAAAGGCTTTTTGCAAATGAGATGTCCCACACCATCAGCATTAGTGAAGGACAAAAATATGCACTCCAATTAAAAAATGTAATGCATTCTTTCATTTCTGGAGCTGCCTGGCCTTTCATAAGATTTAAATAAGCTCAGATAACTGTCTTCATAGTTACATTCAAAATATAATGATATTAAAATATACTGCCTTCACACACACAAACAACTTGTGAAATTATTTGCCAGCATATTAAGCCACTACACCAGATTGTTTGGCAGTGGTGTATGTCTTCGAAATATGCAGATGCTTTTCTTTTTTTAAAAAAATGAGAGAGCGAGAGAAGAGGAGAAGTGAGAAAGAATTACAATAGAATCTGATATCCAAGTAGCCAGAATAATAAATTGTAGAGAGAATCCAACCAATATTACATCAGATTTGGAGAAATAGTTAAAATATACTGAGAGATCACAGAATATTCTGAGTTGGGAGGGACACACAAAGATCATCAGGTCCAACTTTTTAAGTGAGTGGCCCATACAGAGATCAAACCCGCAATCTTGGCATTATTAGCACCAGGTTCTGACCAACGGAGCTAATCTCAGGGTCGCAGTTATGACTTTTTATTTGTATGTGTGTATATATAAATATATATTTCTATGCATAAATTTACAAACAGGAATACAGAAAGAAAAAAAGTCCACACGCCTAGAGGAAGAAACACTGCAGTACTGTTTGTCATGCATAAACTCAAATTTCAAGTGCTAGAGGACAAGCAGACAAGCTAGAACTTTAGATACAAAAGATATGAGCAAGATGAATATCCTTTTGAATTCCCTTATACACAGCCTTCCTGGGGAAAAGCAGGAATCTAAAACTGGTATATCTATCACTGAGTTATTTGCAGGTATATATACATATGCCATATGCCATCTACTTTTCCAGGCACATGTATGGTCTGGACTTCAGTATTACATTCCTTAAAACAGAGGTACAACTGACTAAAAACAATGATTTTTGAGAGCATGTTTCACACATTCAGCACAACAGGAAGGTGGGAGACCCACAAGTCCCTAAACACAAACTTTGAAATGTTTCCTAAAGTGCAGAAAGATAGAAACTACTCCAGTGAGGGCTGAAAGGAAACTGACAGTACAGAACTGTTCCTGCTCAGGACTCTATAGTGAGTTAACAGGTCTTTCTTATGAATATACAATTGCCATAAAACAGTTAACACAGGATGAGGTACTATTTGATGCCATCTAGCCTCAACCTACACAAATAACACAACATCTGAATTGTATAAAACATCCAGTTTCACTAAACAGTCCAATCACAGTATAACGAGTAACCATTGTACTAACATACCCAGTAGTGAAATATATATTTTGTCAGTAATTTGGATGTTGCTAGCTTGATCAATAAAGGATGTTCCCCCTGAAGAGAGGCAGAACCAGGCTTGGGGTATGCATCACCATAATGCCCCTGCATGAGGCACAAATGGCAGAATAAAATGTGCTCCAACCTTATGTTGCAAACCCAATCATTTTTCATGAGCAACAACAGCACCTTCGGGAAAAAGGAAAAAAAAAACATTCTCTCTAACGAGAAATTGATTTATAAGTCATTACAACCATTTCAAAAGGACAGGTCATAGCTGGTTTCTGCGATCATTAACAAAGCCACGCACTTTCAAAGGGCCTCAGTTCTGGGGGGGAAATTCTTATCCCACCAAGAGCAATGGGATGTGCACTTTTGGTAGCAGTACAGTGTCATTCTAGAAATGGAGACATAAAGAGCAGTACTGAGAAGACAGTTACCACATTTTTAATTTCGCATTAATAACAAATGCTCTCGCTGTCTATTCTGGCACATTTGCAAGCTTGCTTTTAGGTACAAGGGGCTGGTGTTCATTTCCACTATAGATAAGAAAACAAGAGCAGCCTTGTTATGATTAAAAGGGTCTATTTCCCTCTGCCTTCTGTCTTCTGTGTCCATCTGCACAGCTGCTTTGAACTTGGCCAAATCCCAGTGTTAGGGTCGCCCACAGGACATGTTTTAAATCATCATCAGACTTGTGAATTTGCTGCTAGAGAAAAATCTCCAAATTCTCACCTAAATGGTTGATGAGTGGTTTTGTAGAACATCCATTATTTTACATAGCCTAAACTATTGGGGAAATTGCACAAAAAAAAATTGCAGAAAAACAATTTACTGTTTCATGAGAAGACTCAGATAAAGACAATATAGACATCTGGAAAGAAATGAAGAGCAATCATTGTAGAGAAAAATGAATTCTGTGGATGCCTAGGTAGATGACTGCATGACTAGAGAGGTCACAAAGTCTGCATCTGAGAAAGAAGTTACAGTAATTTCTCTCTAAAGGTGCAGAACTAGAGAAACTAGGTGAGTGGAAGACAGTGCACGAGACCTGCAGAACCATGAATGGCAATATATTTGTAAAAGTCTTGGGCAACACTAAATTAACAAACGGGTTTGAATTCTCTGTTGCCTCTTAATGTCCTCACCTACCTCTATTCAACAGAACTGAAAACCATGCCACCTCTCCCTCTCTAGCGCGTAACACTTTCAGCACCAAAATTCCCAGTGGGATGACAGTCTGCAAGCATTTTGAGGCTGCCACATTAAAGACTGATAGTCAGAAATGGCTTAAAAAAGAAAGAAAGAAAAAGTTATTTCTTTCTAAACTTCCACTGCCCAATCAGAAACTTGTCAAGAGGGGAAGGGAAAGAAAGGTTTGTATTGGCTAAGAACTGCCATTCCCTAAATAGAGCATGAAAGCCTTTAATGGGGTCTTCTATGAAGCTGAGCTAACATCATTCACCAAAGAACAACAGCCAGGATCAAAGGCGTCCACCAGCCTCACAATACTGCAACCTGCTTCCACCTCCACCTTGAGTTTTATAGGTATTTTGATTTGATAGAATGGTTGGCAAGCTAAATCCACAGCAAATAAGTCAGTTTCCTTACCTAGCCAACACTTTTTTTCCCCCTCCTGGCAACGGACGCCTGGCTCAGTCAAACAATTATTGCTTTTATCAATTTTGCTTTAAAATGGTTTTATTCAAATGGTTCTGCTTCTTATTCCAAAGACCAACAGAAAATAAAGCAAAGCTGTTACTGGTTGCTACAAAACTAATTTTAACCTCAAGCAAATCAGGAATTACACATTCATATTCTGAACTGTTTAAAAATGTTACATTCATTTCTTTTACAACTGATTTAATAAACTCTAAGCCTGCATAATAAATATTCCTATTACAGTCACAGAGGTTTTTTTCCTTTCTTGGGAAGGGAAAACCCATGCTGGTGGCTGATATGAGGTGTAATGAGAAAAGAATTAAGCACACCCAAGTAATTTTTGCAATGTTGCACATTTTGTTATTACATATCATACTCAGCATCACTCTGATTCTTTGAGTGATCCTGGTATGTGTTAACAGCAGTGCCACCCCTAGCAGAGAATGCTATATTCCTTTAAGAAAGGGTGAACAATAACAATGAAAACAAGATGATACATCTAGGGGGAAAAAAAAAAGAAACATTACTACACCTTTAACAGGTTAAAAAAGCCACACTATGTGGTTTTTTAAAAACTTGTAGATACTCAAGGAGTATTTTGCTATCTGGCTCTATGTTATAGATGCCCCTTTATATTCTGAAAGAAAAAAACATGTGCCAAAACTGTTAATCTCATCATTTGCTGCCACACGGAAAATAACACTGATGATAATTTTAGATAAAGAAGGAAAACTACGGACTTCATCTTCTGACACCATTTTACTTAATCAAACTGCAATCACAGTAATTAGCTCTCTCCTACCAAAGGCTTGGTACATACCTCATCCAGGGGTGTTCTCAATGGAGATTTGCAGACGCCTTTGAGACAAAAAGATGCCCATTTAAAATAAGCCCATCTGGCTCAAAATTATTTCTCAACAGCTGAAGATTTCACATGACAAACGCTGCGTGAAGTTTAAAAGGCTCACTGTTTTTCGGCTCTCTCCCCACCATAGCTCCGAATTTCAGACAAAAACCAACCAACCAACCAACCAAAAAACCCTACCGGGATATTCTGAGGATGCTGGACTCCTAAGTGACATCTTTTAAGAGAACATCATTGCGCACAAAATTACGAACCGCCTTTTATTTCGGTTACAGCGTCAAAGGTAGAGTTTAGGGAGGAAAAGTGCACGTGAAAGACGGGCTGAATACCACCCGCTGCAAATCACCAGTGGGTCAGGATGAGAGGAGAAACCTCCGATGTCAGATAAGGTCCTGTGGGAGCCCGGGAGGCTGCCGGCTCCGCGCACAGAAGAATAGACGCGTGTTAACCATAACGCCACCAGCCTCCCGCACCCTCGCCCGCTGAAGGGCTCCCCTCGGCCGCCGGGTCTCCCCTCCTTCGGCCGGGCTCGCGAAACCAAACCCCGCTCCTCGGACCACCAGCTTTTCCCGGGTGGTCCCGGGGCACCCTCCAACTGGTCCCAGCAGCCCGAGGCGGCGGCGCAGGGCCGTGCCTGGGGTAGGGGCGAAACCCGCGCTCTGCCCTGCCCCCGCCGCAGCGGAGGTCGCGATCGCCGCGGGACTCAGCGGCAGATCCCGGGGAGGGATGCTCCGCAGGCAGCTCTCTCCCCTCCGCCCGCTCCGCCGTCGGGGCAGGCGGTGTCATCCCCGTCCTACCCACGCCGTCAACAAACTTTGAGGGGGACAACGGGTCCCTGGCCCCAGACCGCGGGGCACTCGCGGGTCCTTCCCGCTCCCCCTCCGCGCGCCGTCCTTACCCTCCGCACGGCACCGGCCGCGTCCCCCGCCCGCTCCGGCCGCGCCGACCCCAGGCAGGGAGCGTGAGCGCCGCCCCGCCCGGCCACCCCAGCACTGGGGAGCGCCGAGGAGGCGGTGCCGGTGAGGGGAAGGAGGAGGTGGGAGACTTCTCCCCCCGGCTGCCTCCCTTTCTTCCCTTCCCTCCCCTCGGCGCCTCCTTTCCGACCACCGTCGCCCTCGCTCGCCCGGATCAGGCGGCACGCCGGGCTCCGCCACCCTGCCGCCGCCGCCGCCGCTCCATGTGCCGCCCGCCCCCTCCTCCTCCGCCGCCTCCGCCCGCCGCCGCCTCGGCGCGGGGAGGCAGCGCGGGAGCCGCCGGGCGCCCGGCGCGGCTCCGACACACGCCGCTGCTGCGTCCCCCGCTTTCCGCCCCGCTCCGGTCCCATTTATGAAGCCCGGCGCCCATCACGTGTCAGTGTGTGCCTTTTGTCCCGGCCCTGGCAGCGCCGGGGCGGACGGGCGGCGGCGGCCAAACTTCTCCCGAGGGCAGGGACACGGGGACACCCAGGGACACCGCGGGGGCGGGCGGCGCAGAGCGGGCCCCGGCCACACCGTCCGTGTCGGGACGTGCCCCGCGGCCCCGGCCGGCCGTGGGCGATGACCGGCCGTGAGCCCCGTCCTGCTGGCGCTCCGCCGCGGCGCCCCCACCGCTGGCCGCGGGTAACGGGGCCGGGGGAGGCGGCGCGCCGGGCCCCGGACCAATGTGGAAGGCAGCGCCTCCTCCGGCCCGCGGGGGCGGACAGCACTCCCTCCCCGAGGGGGCCCGGCCCGGCCGCCCGCCGGCGTGGCCTGGGAGAGCCGGGCCGGCCCCGCGCTTGCCGCGGGGTTGGCGCACCCAGGGGATGGGTGGGCTGGCGGCCGTGGCTGTCCGCGTGGGGCGTCCCTGCTCCGTCCCAGTTTTTTCCTGTGAAACACTAGAGTTCTGCCATCGTTTATTTCCCTTTTCCTCACTATCCTTGTGTCCCGCCTTGGGTGTTCTGGGACTCATGCGACAGCCGTCATGGCAACCCTCAGAAGTGCTGAGGGGCGAGATACCTCCAAAGGCGAACGGGGAATGGGCACAACCGGCAAGCTGAGCTTTATTCAACAGCCAGTTCCTAAAGAGCGCAATATCCAGCTGGCTTTGCTCCGTGTGCTTTTGCCTCTGCAGTGTCATAAATATGTATTTGTCTTCACACGAATTAATACAGAAAGATGATAAATATTTATCATTTGACATAGTGTCTAAAGACGTTAACTGGTCCATCCACCCATGGAGAAGAATATGCCATATTCCTTATTTCTCAGGAAAAAAAAAAAAAGGACTCAGGTCTTCCTGAGTGAGGGTTAAAGATTTTGGGTGGCTATATTTTTTAAGGGTGTCCAACTCGAGATGTCCCTGCCATCTGACATTGACTCTTCCTCTTGAAGGCTTCTCAAGCTGGGCCCCCAAGGTCTGAGGCAACCAAAATCTCAGGGCTCCATCCACTGAAGTGCATCTACTGAGGAGTACAGCCTCATTCTCACAATCCAGTGTTTTCCCTGCATTGAATCCCACAGCGAGTCTGCAAGATCATAATTACTGCCTATAATTTTTCCACCACTGGCTCTTTCTGATGGTAATCGTTAAATTAACAAGAAAGGAGATAATTTCAATTGGCACACCCTGTGAGAAAAGTGGAGGGGGAAAAAAGGCTAACTCATTTGTGCCCAGCTTGAGTTTCTGGTATTAGTCAGTCCGTCTGTTTGGTCATTCAGAAGTGGTGTGTAAAAAGAACTTTATTTAAGACTGCATTAAATCGGATCAGATTTCTCTTTGACTGTTCATTTCAGAAAGTACTGACCTCTCCTTCTCAGAGGACTACAACTTCTTTTTTTAATTCTTTGAAAGAGTTGGATACTTTTGCTTTTAATGTGAACCTACCAAGTTAAACATGTCTTCCACAGTCGTGGAGGGACACATCCCCTCTGCAAAGACAAGTCACATCAAGTGGGCATCGCCAGACTAAAATCAGCCCTCAGAGAGAATATAAGGGCATGTGTTACTGCTCATCCCACCTCCACATTTGTGGCTTCTTAATGATCCCCATGCTTAACTGGAAGTTACTTCAGTCTCAGCATAATCCTTCTTTCCATCACTTCTAAACTTGTATGGTAGAAAGGGAAATTGTAGGGTTGAACATGTCACCATGCCCACACACTGAGGGTTTTTTCCCCCCTAAAATCCCCTACAGTTGCTACTGCCAGTTCAGAGTACAGTTATAACACTTCCACAGGAGACATGACGTATGGGTAGCCAGAGGTGATTCAAGCACTGGGTTCTCAACCTTCTTCACTGTGGGGCATCCTGTGAACCCTCCCGCCTTGCCCACCTCAGCCCCTCTTCCAGGATCCTGCTTGCAATTTAGCAATTTGGCAAAGGAAAGCTTGTTGCAATCCTGTGACACCTGTTCCTAGCAGAGTTGGTTGGAAAACCTCTGAAAGAACAGCTTTCCACTGGAAAATGCGACCCTGTAAAAATAAAAATGCTTTTCAAACTTGTGTCAGTTGCACTGGAAATGTAATTTAAAAAAGAGTAAGTGGTGAAGGATGTTCCAACAGTGTGGGAACATCTCGCTGTGACATTTCCAAGCTAAACATTTCAATTTCTTCCTTCAAAATGCGTTTTGGTTTCAAAATATTTCCTTTTATATTATATATTA